GTGAGGTAACCCGAGCCTCTAGTGAGGTAACCCGAGCCTCCCGTGAGTTAACCTGAACCTCTAGTGAAGCAACCTGAGCCTCCAGAGACGTCTCACGGTAGGCTTGCCTGGTCAGAATTGCAATGACCGCGTCCGGTCCCCTGACTCAGGCCCCCCTGACAGACTGATCCCCTGATTTTCAGACCTGACTTACCTCTGGAGGTTCCTGGGACCCTGAGGAATTTCGAGTGAATGTTGGCCGGGTAGTCACCTGTCCTCCATGGGGCCGGAACTCTGGGGCCCTGAAACGTCTCAGGGGGAGCCTCCCCTAGAGGTCCCTGAGGTGGGAGCGGCCACCTGGGTGAGACTCTGAGATGGCTTTTCTCTGGTGCCGGAGGAAGATAAATCTCTGTGGGACCTCCAAAATGTTGTACTGGCCTGAGCATAGAAAGTCAACACCAAGACAAAAGTAGGCCAAATTGCAGGGTCTTTATTGCCGGAGGCAATGGAGGACTCACGTCTCTCCAACCCGTGGCCCCGAAAGAGGGCGTCAAGGCCTTTTTTACCCATAAACCACCCCGGGGGTGAGGATGAGGGGTGGGGGTGGGCTGAGGCTTCAGACATTCTGAGGGCCAGTGGATTCTGTAAATCACCTCCTGGGTGGAGATGAGGTGAGGGGCTCCGGACATTCCAAGGGCCACGGGACTTTAGACATTCCGATTGTTACTTAAGTGGTTCACAGAAGTCAAAATAAGCGTTAGTTTACACATTGTCTGGGTAGGGTGGAAATTACAGACCTTAATTACTTATTACAAGTCGCAGGGGTCAAGATGGTGTGGGTTTGGACTGCTTGGCTGTCACATTAGGGGTTACAGAGAGCAGTTGCAACAGAAAGCCGAGGTATGGCTGAGGTATGCAGTTTTATGGGGGTTTTACCATGTCACATGATAAAGGCTCCAAGAACACCCAATGAGGAAATAGTAGTCTTTTCAATATAATGGTGTTGGGAAAACTGGATATCCACATGCAAAGGAATGGAATTAGACCTTTATCTTGTACCACAAACAAAAATCAACTCAAATGAATTAAAGATTTAAATATAAGAACTGAAACTGTAAAACCTCTAGAAGAAAACATGAGGGAAAACTTCATGATGTTGATTTTAGCAATGATTTTGTGAATAAGACACCAAGAACACATACAATAAAAACAAAAATAAGTAAAATGACATCAAACTGAAAAGTCCTGGACAGCAAAACATACAAATAATAATAGAGTGAAAGACAACCTACAGAATGGGAGAAAATATTTGTAAATCACTCATCTGATAAGGGGTTTTCCTCTGCAATATATAAGGGACTCCTACAACTTAATAGTAAAAAAATCTAATAACTTAAATAAAAGTGGAATAGGCACTTTGAATAGACACTTCTTCAAAGGAGGCATGGATGTATTTATATATCACCCTGAAGGCTATAAAGTCCATGAAGGATGAGACCAAAAACCACTATCTAAAACACTCAATATGACTGGGACTTAGCATTCAATGAACACTTTATGAATGAATGAATGATTAAATTAATAAGAGTATTACAGTGGGCAAATATAAAACAGCTCCCCAGGAAAACCAGTGCATTTCTCCACACTGGGATTTGAAGCCAGACTTCACAAACTTAGCTTTGCAATCCCCAGAAATACTTTCTGCCTGTGCCTGGCAGCACCCTCAATCCTTTGCAGAAAATGCTACACTCTTCATGACCCCCAGTATTCTGATCTGGCATCCTGACAGTCTCAGATTTAAATCAACAAAATTTTCCGGCTATACTAACAGTTGAAGACTGAAGAAAAGTCAGTTTTACTGCTGAAAATATAAGCTTCATAATGAGGTAAAAACCTGATCTTGTGGATGATGTGTTCACTTAACCTCTGCTAAGGGCAAAAAAATGTGATTTATTGATTTTGATTTTCTAATAAAAAATTTTGTCACCTTTTCATAGGCAACTTATTATAAGTTGCTGGAGTCGTCGGCCCCATAAACAAAGTTTGGTTAAAACATATCAAAAAGAGAATTTCAATATAAAAATCAATAAAATTAGAGAAAAAGTATAATGAATCAAGATCAAAAGCAATTTCTTCTTGGGACATTGTAATAACATTTATTTAAAAAAAAAAAAACTCATTTTCTGATCCTGAAGAAAGTAGTAGTATAATAGTGTTAGAAAAATTAATGAAACAAATATAATAGTAAGTAATGACAATAGTAACAGTAGCAGCTTCCCCTTACTGAGCACTCATTGCACGCCAGGTGCTGGGATGGAAGCTCAGATTACTACAGAGAATATATTACACTTAGATTCTAATACATTCTAAGAAGGAAACTTGACTTTTTTTTAACATAAATTATCATATTTAATACTCACAGCAATCCTTGGGAGAGTCTGCATTTTAATATCCTTATTTTAGACCAAGAAAGTAGAGGCTCAGAGATATCAATTCACTGATGTCAAATCTCAGTTAATGCACGATGGAGTCTAGATGATATTTGAACTCCAAATTTAACAATCATGCCTATAAACCTTACCGCTCCACAGAAACACAGGAAAACACCAAACAAAATTCCATTAACCACCCTGCCAATTGGTAAAGATTTAATTATTTTTTAACGAGAATTGTAGGTCTTCTTTATTTTTATTTTTTAAAGTGGATCATCCCCAGGGTGATCCTCAGCTATTGCTCAGGCTAGATTTAACAAGTGCTGGCATTTACATTTTTGCTTATGATAGTGGGGACTGTGCCACTGAAAGCCAGGGATTACTCTTTGTGAGCTACATTTAATCAAAAGTGATCCATAATTTCAAGCTCCAATGCCTTCCACCACTTTATTAACTAGACAGTTGTTCACTGTGAAGCCTCCTGGCTCAGGTTTAAAATATGGTGTGTGATATGAAAGAGACTCTTCTCTTTGCCACCTCCCAACTGGTTGCCCTTTTTAAAAGCTCAAGAAACAATTTTATCCTTTGGTTTCTTACTCTTCCCTAAGTATTACAGATGAGTTGAAAAATATTAGACTTGCTGGTGAGGATATTCTTAGACAAAGTAGTTTCTAATGTGTTTGTGAACATACATGATCGTGCGTCTATATGTGTGTTTGGGGAAGGAACATTATTGTTAAAACTTAAGGTTTCCCCCCACCTATGTCTGAGTACCCATCCTGTCCAGCCTATTGTTCCAAGCAGAATTTCCTAACTCCCAGCAAAGGGAGATATTGTAACTAACAGATTAGAATAGATCAAGGAGTACTATTAAATCCATCATGTCAATTATGAGATAAAAGGTACATAGTCAGTTTTCTCCCCAATGGCAATATAAGCATCAGAATTTATGTTTTATCAAGAAAAAAACAGAACAACAGATAAATTCTAAAGCCATACAGTGGTGTGAACACTCAAAGAATTTTTAGATTATACAGCCACCTCGAAGCTCAGTCCCTTTCTTCCTTTTTCTCACCCTCTCTCTTTCTTCCTTTTTCTCGCCCTCTCTCTTTCTTCCTTTCTTCCTTCCTTTCTTCATTCTTTCATTCATTTTCTTGCTCTTTCCTGCCACTTTATTTACATATAAAATTTTTTATGTATTAGGTTTACTTTTCTCCAGGGCTTACGAGAGTGGTTTTTATCATAGAATGGAAAATAAAACAACCAAGGCACTAGCCACAAGGGAAGCAGGAGTCCTGAATGCCACCTGACAAAATGGCTCTTAGTTTGAGGATGAGCTGGGAATCAATGGGGCAAGAAAAGTAAAAATTAAGCATAAACAGGGTAACTTGTAGAGACCATCAGCATTGCCTTTGTCTTCCCTCATCCCCAATTGGAGCATTGCATGCTATTGCATATTAAATTTTTGAGTAAATTTGGTGGGCTTATACAACCAGGAGCAAGTAAGTGGCCCATTTGAAATGCTATAATGAAAACAACGATGGGAAATAGGAGCCTAGTAATTCTTTCAAGGGCAGTGTTTGGATGTAGATAGCAATGGGGTTTGAATACTGTTTTTATAGATGAAAGCTTGGAGAAATTCCTAAGTTTCTGTTTGTCACCTGCAAGACATTTTGTGAAAAAAATTAATACTGCATAGGTAAAAATGATTAATTAGAGTGGTGAGAAATTGTCAAGTGCCAAGTGATGATTAACCTTTTGGCTTATCAAAATCTTTTAAAATCATTTGTGCCAAGGCAAAATACCTTTATTTTCCCTATGCATAACTCATCTGGGTATTTAGAGATACGGAATTAATTCAGTTTACTGTATTATGATACTTCAGCTCAGTCTGGCAATGTGATGATGGACACATTGGTTGTAGTTTGTCACCAGCAGGACATTTCATAAAAAAAAAAATATAGGTAGAAGTGATTACATAGAAAGGTATCTTTTGATTCACTTTGTCAGCTCCTGATGGTTTCCTGCAGAATCTTCAGGCAGCCAAGTATAGTAAAATTGTAGTAGTTTATAGTGTTTTTAAAAATAAAATGTGCTTTTAGATTGTCAGCCCAGGGTCAATCTTGAAATCAAAATGTTGAATTAAATTACTCTTCTGAATAATGACCTTCCCTTAGGATGGACAGAGAAGGTCTTTTGCCAGTAAAGAAGATTTTGAAGTTAGAAACTTCTTGTCTGTTGCATCCTAGTTTGATACTGGAACACTTTCATTGATTCTGGCTATATTCCTCTTCCATAAAATTTCTTTATGGCCACAAATATACTCAGTCTTGATTTCTAACTCTGTCTCCAGTCCATCCTTCTTGACTGTTTACTGACTATATATATTTATCTGTATTTATATAATTGTTATACATGCGTGGACACACACACACACACACATATTATTGTGCTGATGAGCAGTATTAATTGAAAGATATGTAATATAAAGACGGAAACAATGTAAAGGTGGCAGAGGATATGAAAACTCAGCACCAGTCAGTCTCAGCCAGGAAAATTTGCAGAACTCTTTCCCTGTGGTTACTTTTTCAGTTGCCTCATTATACCACTACTAATTTCTTTTCTTTTCTTTTTTTTTTTTTTTTTTTTTTGTTTTTGTTTTTGGAGACAGAGTTTCGCTGTTGTTACCCAGGCCGGAGTGCAATGGCGTGATCTCGGCTCACTGCAACCTCCAACTCCTGGGTTCAGGCAATTCTCCTGCCTCAGCCTCCTGAGTAGCTGGGATTACAGGCACGCACCACCATGCCCAGCTAATTATTTGTATTTTTAGTAGAGACGGGGTTTCACCATGTTGACCAGGATGGTCTTGATCTCTTGACCTCGTGATCCACCTGCCTCAGCCTCCCGAAGTGCTGGGATTACAGGCATGAGCCACCATGCCCGGCTACCACTATTAATTTCTACTGTTCTTTGAGAGAAATTGCATCCCAATGACAAGTAACATTGAAAGACCTTGGGCGCGTCCAAGCTCAATGGTAAACTTTCTGGTATTGATATTGGATTCGCAGCTTAGACTATGTAGGGTGTTTGAGGGATTAGGAGGCTGATCAAGAAAAAACTATAGGACTACAAGAGGCAGTTGTGTACAAAAAGCTTCATTTAGCAATTCTCAGGCATGCTTGCATGAGAGGGATGTTCCTTTATGGCAGGTTGTCATCCAGAGGCTTATGGTTACAGGGCCAGAGGAGAGATTGGTAAGAAAACTCCAGTAAGACAGGAGGATGAAAGATAGGCTTCCTAGTATAGGTGATGATCCTCAGAAGCATAATAGGGAGTTTGTCAGAGAACTCTGAAGGTTAATAGTGACTTAGAGCAGGGATCCCCAATACCCAGGCCACAGACTAGTGGCAGTCCATGGCCTGTTAGGAACCAGGCTGCACAGTACAGGGTTGAGTGGCAGGTGAGTGAAGCTTTAGCTGTATTATCTGCCGCTCCCCATGGCTGCGTCACTGCCCAAGCTTCACCGCCCAAGCTTCACCTCCTGTCATATCAGCAGCAGAGGGATATAGATTGTATGCTCCTCGTGAGAATTTAATGCCTGATGATCTTTCACTGTCCTCCATCACTCCCAGATGAGACCACCTAGTTGCAGGAAAACAAGCTCAGGGCCCCCACTGACTCTATATTAGGTGAATTATATAATTATTTCATGATATATTATAATAATAATATAAATAAAGTGTGCAACAAATTTAATTTGCTTAAATCATCCTGAAGCCATCCCCCTCCCCCATTCATGGAAAAATTGTCTTTCGTGAAAGAGGTCCCTGGTGACAAAAAGACTGGGGGACTGCTGGTTTAGATTATTAAAATCACAGCCTCTCCCTTACTAATGGCCAACAGTAAAAGCAGATAGTCTCTAAATGACTAAAAGTCTACTTATTTGGATAATTTATTTTAATAATTTCTACTTTTAGATTCAGGGGGTATATGTGCAAGGTTGTTACAACGGTGTATAGTATGAGCTGAGATTTGGGGCACAATTGATCCCATCACACAGCTACTGAGTATAGTACCCAATAGTTAGTTTTTCTTTTCTTTTCGTTTTTTTTTTTTTTTTTTTTTTTCAGATGGAGTCTCACTCTTTCACGCAGGCTGGAGTGCAGTGGCCAGTCTCAGCTCACTGCAGTCTCTGCCTCCAGGGTTCAAGTAATTCTCCTGCCTCAGCCTCCTTTGTAGCTGATATTAAGAGTGTATGCCACCACACCTGGCTAATTTTTGTACTTTTAGTAGAGACAGGGTTTCATCATTTTGCCTTGGCTGGTCTTGAGCTCCTGACCCCAAGTGATCCACCCACCTTGGCCTCCTAAAGTGCTGGGATTATAGGCATGAGCCACTGCTCCCGGCCCCTAGTTACCTTTTCAGTTCTTTCCTTCTCCTTCTCTTCCAGTAGTCCCTAGTGTCTAATGTTGCCATTATTATGTCCATGAGTACCTAATTACCTTTCACTTATAAATTAGTAATGTTTCTGCATTAATTTGTCTAGGATAATTTCCTCTGGCTGCATCCATGTTGCTGTAAGGGACAAGATTCTGGTCATTTTTATGGCTGTGTAGTATTCCATACTGTATATTTATAATTTATTATCCAGTTGTTTGGGTTATCATTAAAATAATTGGGAGCATAAAATTTTCAGTTTGGTCATGGCAGGTATTAATTTGCAGTGAAGAAATAACCTAGGGAGTAATACCAAGAAACCATTGTTTGGCTCATTTATACAGCAGATTGCCACAAAGAACTAAGAATATAAAAAACTGAGAGCATTTTCTGGACAAAGCACATGAAAAGGACTTCTGTTTCTTTTGTTGTATGAATTTTTAAGGAAAAAAGAGGAGGATGCGGATTTGGAGAAAGCTGGGTTGACATACTTATTAAATCTTTGTTAAATGAACCTTATCTGAATAATGTTTGGGCAGAACAAGGGATGAGTCTTATGATATTGTTAATACTGGACTATGAATAACACTGTCTAAAATTTTCCTAATAAAATAATCATGCCAATTATCTCAGATTCCAAAAGGCTTAGGCTACTAAAAGCATCTATGGAGCAGTAAAACTCAGTACTCAAATGACCTTAACAACTTAGTTCCACCTACCATTTCTGTTAAGTTTTCTATCACTGTACATGAAACAACCTGATCTCCTGTCTTGCAAAAGAACACAGAGGATTTGTCATTGTTTTATTCCATTTTGTTGTTGGTTTTGCTTTAAATATTTTTTTTTTCTTTGAGGCAGAGTTTCACTCTTGTTGCCCAGGCTAGAGTGCAATGATGCAATCTCAGCTCACTGTAACATCTGCCTCCCGGGTTCAAGCAATTCTCCTGCCTCAGCATCACCAGTAGCTGGGATTACATGCATGCACCACCATGCCCAGCTAATTTTGTGTTTTTAGTAGAGACAGGGTTTCACCATGTCGGACAGGTCGGTCTGGAACTCCTGACCTCAAGTGATCCACCTGCTTCGGCATCCCAAAGTGCTGGGATTACAGGTGTGAGCCACTGCACCTAGCCTAAACAATCTCTAAGTTAACCAATCTATCTATGCTGTCTAGAGATGCCCCAATACATCCTACTTGGTCCATGGTGAATAGTGATAGATTTCTTCCTTCTTTCCTTCCTTCCTTCCCTCCCTCCC